ATCATACAATCGCTTATGGTGATTGGTGTGGACGGCTGGATACGCTCTATGCTGGAAAGCAGAATCATTCAGGTCAAAAGTGGAGATAATATAGTAACTAGATATGTGAGCAGAGGTACTCCTCAGAGAGGCGTACTCTCACCACTCTTGTGGGTGGTAGCGTTGAACGGCATATTGCTGGAATTCAATAGAGGAGGGGTTAAAGTAGTGGCATATGCTGGCGATGTAGTGAAAGCAGTCACAGGATCCTTCCTTTCTACTGTAAGTGAAATCAAATTTAAGTAGGACTGGGTAAACTACACACATGAGCTAAACACAGTGGCCTTAACGTTAACCCCACCAATACCGAGGTAATACTGTTTACAAATAGAAATAAGATACCCCAATTTAGACTTCCTTCCATAGGCTGAAAGGTACTCCCCCTATCATCCAATGAAAAATATCTGGGAATCATCCTAGACACTAAGCTAAACTGGAAACTTAACCTGGAAAAACGAAACTTGTGATGTTGATGTACACCGCCATCATAAGGCCGATCCTTACCTATGGCGCACTAGTTTGGTGGCCAGCCTTAAGTAGACAGTACAATGTCAATAGACTAAGTAGCTTACAAATAGCGGCTTGTTCAGGGATAACTGGGGCATTGAGATCCTGCCCTCCGAAAGCACTGAATGTTGTCCTCAATATGGTTCCGATTGATCTATGCCTAAAGGAATTCGCGACGTACTCAGCATTAAGACTCAGAGAGCCTGAGCTGTGGAAAACGAGGACCTTTGGGCACAGCTCAATCTTAAGTATAGGCCCGATAGAAAATAAAACCACGGAATACATGGTGTCAAGCCAGGAATTTGGTTTGAATGTGGTGGTACGGTTTCCATCCAGAAAGGAATGGAAAAGGGACCAAGCAGATGATAAGGAAGCTATCTGCATCTACACAGACGGATCTAAGATGGACTGCAGTGTGGGGGCAGGAGTATATTCCGAGGAGCTAGCTAGCATATTTCAGGTCGAAGCCCTGGGCATACGGGAGGCCTGTAGGTTACTAAATAAAGTGCTATTAGAAAAGTAAAAGCAGTGATTTACTCAAACAGCCAGGCCGCGCTGTTAGACATATCGTCTCCTGATACCAAGTCTAAGCTAGTCAAAGAATGCAAGATGGAGCTACGCTCAACGTCTCAGTCAATGTCTACCTCTTTTGTCTGGGTTCCCGGCCATTGGTATATAGAAGGCAACGAGAGAGCAGACGAATTGGCCAAGGTGGGAGCTTGTTTGGATGAATCATTAGCGGTGGTACTGGGATACCCCCTCAGACAAGTACAAGCAGAGGAACACTTGCACTTTCTGAAACTGGCAAGGAGGAGGTGGTCAGCGATTCAGACTTGCAATATAGCACGTGAGCTTTGGCCAGACTATAGCAGGAAAAGAACAGCAGAGCTGCAAAGTAGGTCTAGGGTAGATGTTTTTAGGATTGTAGCGACTATCACCGGCCACTGGCCACTAGGAAAGCATGCCTATAGAATAGGACTTCCATACAATGATACATGACGCAGCTGCCGAATAGAGAGAATAGATGCCAGAGCTGCTGGCAGTCGTTGGTTTAACAGTTGCAGTCGAAGTTCAAGCAAAAACTGATTGCCGACAAAATGCGCAAAGCTGCTGGCAGTCGTTGGTTTAACAGTCGCAGTCAAAGCTCAAGCAGAAACTGATTGCCGACAAAATGCGCAGTTCTTCCGGCAGTCGTTGGTTTGAAAATTTTCACTTTGATTTCATTCTGATTTTGGTCAGCGGCGCAAGTCGATGTATAAGCAATATCTTTGCTTTTGCAAGTTGTCGGCAGTCGCAGTCGAAAAATGAGAAATTTCTAGCTTCTGCAAGCGGGCAGCAACGACAGTCAATTGGTATTTTGTGTTTGCTTATGAGTTCTTCAGAGCTCGCAAATTACTGTTGACACTTACGAAGTGTTCGAAAAATACAGTTGAATTTTGGCAATTCTTTTTGTTGAAAGCGTTGCTCAGTTTCTCCATACAAAAAAATTGTCGAACAAGATATTGCCAAAAATCAACCTAGCTACTTCTAACTTGCATTTTATTGTACTAAAATTTATTATGCCACAAAATTCCATACCCTAAAAAAGATTTAAAATTTTTATGAACATTTAGCTAATTTTTGCTCAAATTTCTTTATTCCATGTACGCATACATATATACATATGTTCATATACACATATTTGAATTTAACTATTTTCACAAACTAAACTCTTTTTAATACATAAGTGCGTCATATTTAGAACACGTGGTTAATTTTCCCTTAATGTATCTACATACATACATATGTACATACCCAGCGGACCAGCGCACGAGCCTTGAGCGAGAGTGTCGTAAAATATCCGCAAACGAGCTCGCATGTCAGCAAAGGACGATTGTGAAACTTCTTTGATCGTAGAACTCTCGCATAAGAGCATTACAGCGTAAATATTGTGATAGAAATGCGGGTGCATGAGCCTTTAGCGAGATGTCCGTAAACGAGCTCGCATCTGAGCAAAGAACGATTGGAAAACTTTTGTGATCGTAAAACCCTCGCACGCGAGCATTGCAGCGTGAATATTGTGATAGAAATGAGAGTGCAATAATTTTCTACTTGTACAATTGTAAAAAAATTGTTTTGTTTTATTTACCAAACTGGAATGTGTGACAGCTGAATAAATAAAAAATAGTTTTTAAAAACTAGATACGCTTTTTTGTTGTTAATAATTTTCTGTGTCCTTTCCGGAGTTTATTTAATTGGTGTAAAAAGTAAGTATACAATTTGAATTGTTATATTTAATAGTAACGTGAAAATGCCTTACAAAAGAAAAAGTCGGAAATATATTTGTGAGGCTCGTCATGTAAAACGAGCTGCAGTAGAAATTGAGTTGGTTAATGAAAATAATAAAATTAGTAAAATAGAGAGCGAATATGAGTTACATTTTTTATTATCAGATAACAATGAATTACCATCTACAGAGTATTCCGGTTCAACCGATTTCAATTTTCGCTTAGCGCAGTGGTTATCCACTAATAATGTCAGCAAAAGTGCAGGGAATGAACTGCTTTTGCTCTTGGGTGAAAAAATTCCTGGCTTGCCACAAGATGCACGTACTTTAAAAAGTACACCACGCACTATTGTAAAACCTAGTGTAGAGCCAGGCGAGTATGTAAATTATGGCGTAAAAGATGCCTTAACAGATTTCCTCATGAATTTTTATTATCCATCTTCAACTATCAGTTTAAATGTTAATGTAGATGGCCTTCCGTTGTATAAGAGTACACAGAAACAAGCATGGCCCATTTGGATTAACGTCAATGGTACAAAGCCAGTATTAGTAGCTGGAATATATGTAGGTAATTCAAAGCCTCGTAATCCCAATGTTTATTTGGAACAATTCGTCTGCGAATTAGGAGAATTAGTTACGGAGGGCATGGTATTTCAAGAAAGGATGTTCCAAATATCAATCAGAGCATTTATTTGCGATGCGCCAGCCCGCGCTTTTATTTTAGGTGTGAAACATCACTCCGGATTTTATTCTTGCAATCTTTGCATTCAGAAGGGCGAAAGTTTTAATAGACGACTAATTTTTAGAAAATCACTTAACTTACAACGAACTAATGGTAGCTTTCGAAACCGTGTTCAACCAGAGCACCACAATATACAAGGCAAACTAATTCTTGAAGATTTGCCAATTGATATGGTAAATCAGTTTCCCTTAGATTATATGCACGTTGTTTGCCTTGGAGTCGTAAAATCGGTGCTTGTAGCTTTAACGAGGCACTCCATAACTTCACTAAATAATAAACTAACGTGTTTAAAAAAGTTTTTACCTAGGGAATTTACTAGAGGAGTTAGATCTCTAGATGATCTCGAAAGATTTAAGGCCACAGAGTTTCGTACGTTTTTATTGTATACAGGGCCTATGGTATTAAAGGACGTTTTAGGTACAGGTTTGTACAATCATTTTCTATTACTTACCTTAGGAATTCGACTTCTTCTCCACAAAGAGTATTGTGTAACACAAAACTCTCTTGCATCTGGATTGCTAGATGACTTTGTAAGTCAAGTACCTTCTTTTTATATGTTTTCAATGCTCACATTTAATTTTCATTGCTTAACACATTTAAGCCAGCAAACTCTTCAATATGGTTCTCTACAGACTATAAGCTCCTTTCCGTTTGAAAGCTTCTTAGGGCAACTAAAAAAAATGGTGAAAAAGTCTAACTACCCCTTAGAGCAATTATACAACCGAATTGTAGAACGTAGTATCTTAAAAGTCGTCCTCAAAGAGAAAGTTCAGAAGTTAAATGGGTCCAATGGCAAAATTTCATATAATCACTGGTATTTTGATGCAAAAGATCGCGATTGTTTTTACTTTTTAAAAGATAACAACAAATATACAATTTTTAAAATTATTAAAATTAAATATAAAATTTTCCATAGCCATCTAGTTATTGATTTAGAACCGTTTTTTACTTTTCCAATAAACTCCACTTTTGTAGGCATATTCTCTTCAAAAGAACTCACTTTCGACTCAAACATATTTCAACATAATATAGAAAAAATATCAGGAAAAATATTTCATTTTGAGGGCAGTGAAATGCATATTTACTTACCCTTAATTGACTCATTTCACATTAATAAATATGAATTCATCCTACATGTTCAATTTTGATGTCAGTGAAAGTGGAGTTCGCGACAAAAATATACCAAATTATAGACTAGAAGGTAAAACACTGATAAAATATAAACATAATATAAACCGTCGTGGTTTTGCAAAGGCATTGACGATATATAACAACCAATAAACAACATATGTATGTGTATATATTCCATTAATTACACTTACAATCTATTTCAGATATATCTAATAGTGCTCCAAGCAGCCACTGCAATAACTCCGGTAATGCAATAAAACAGTTTCTTATTTAATGCCGACTTACAAGATTTATTTATTACATTTACAGACATATTGAACCTTATAAAGAAAATTATGGAAACCCAGCGGGCAACAACTGATAAAATTGATCAGTTGCTAACCAAAATTGATCGTCAAGGTGCTGAGTTAATTTCATTAAGGAGTGAAGTTTCATCTATAAAAGCACGAGTTTGCGGCGAGGCCCATAAGCCAAAATTGACGTTGCCAATGTCTCCATTAGTTACATTTGAGGCCTTCGAAGCATTTGAAGAAAGTATCAAAGAAGAGCAGTCCTTTAAAAATTTGGTAAGTAGCCCAGTCAACACGGCCAGATTGACGTTTATAGAAAACGTTTCGAAATTAAATCGTATCTGCTAAAAAATTTCACATTTTTCTCAAGGTCATGGAATTAGTCGCCAATTCTGAAAAAACGTATGATAAATTTATCAGGAGCTCATGGCGCCTATTGATATCGGATGACGTAGCAAGACAATGTTCTTGGCGTGGAACAGATACGAAAAAGTGTGTTAGAGGCCTTCGAATCACATTGGCAATACGTAGTGGGTTTTACTTTTATAATTTGTATGCTTACAAATATGTAATGTTATTTTATGTTGTGTACAGATGCATTCAAGCAAAAGTTCGCACTTGAAGACAGTGACTTTGACCGCGTTACACAGAAGTTTTTTCAATACGCGCAGGAAAGACTGGCAAGATTAGAAAAATGTAATTCAAAAATACCTAAAATATAATGTTCTTGGTGAATTAGTTATTAACATATTGATGGTCCTGTGGATTAACGACACAATTCAAAATTCAAAAAATAAAAACCCTTACTAATGTTAAGTGACTCATGTCTCTAATCCTTGTCGGATCTATGTATAATCTTTAGTAATTACTTTAGTAATCCTTACTGCTTACTTTAGTAAGGGCTGGAAATGGATTAGACAAGGATTAGAGACAAGAGCCACTTAACAATAGTAACGGTTTTTTGAATTTTGAATTGTGTCGTTATTGCAGAGGAGCATCGCTATTTATACGTACTGTAGTTAGATGTTTAATGGCCAAAGAGTGCCTTGTTTTCATAATCTTTAATTTATTTATACTCAAAAAATATATTCCTGTAAGCTGC